GTCCTCCCGGTGTCATGTGATAGCCCGGGGCTGCCCGCGGGGATGCGGTAGACCGCGCCCAAAGCTGCGGCCCCGGCTTGGGTCAGCGCACGCTGCCCCGACTCGGCTACCTCACGTTACCGGGGCCCTGGCTTTGGGCGCGGCTTCTGCTCATACTTTGTGGTGCGGTGGTGGTGCGTCGGTCCGCGCGCTCTGACTTCGGCCAAGAAAAATGCGTCAGCTGATCATTGTCATTTCTGCCACTTGCGTGTGGTGAAATGGGGTCATAACTTAAGAGACGGCTTTTTCATATCAATTATTTTACATAAAATCATATTTCAAACCATAAATAATGTTCGACAGCCAAATAAAAGAAACAATACCAATACAGGCTTACAGTTTAAGGCTCGACATTGTGTTGTCTACGATTAGACAGCTGATAACTCATTCCCGTACGTCGTAACTCTATAATGACCTTTGCTTATTGTCACATGTGCGCCGCATTCGCGATTGTTGCCGACGCCTGTTTGCAGGTCAGCCCACTACAGTTGTTATACATATCGAAAAACCGATAAACTTTTAGGCGAAAAAGGCACTATTCCAGGCCCATTTTTGATTTTCTTTGCGATATTAGGTAAAAACAGAAGCTTCTTATCCTAGGAAAAATAAAATGGGAAATCTTTCAAAGGTGGCACACTACCTTTAATGAACCGTTGGGACGCTACGCCAAGCAAGAGTGGCGCTTTAACAGCAGGGATAACATAACACACAAGGCCCTGTGGGACGATTACATTGACTCAAGGGGCGCCCTTTAGAATCGGTGCGACACCGTGCAGAGGGCGCCATTCTTAACCACATCAATTTTAATACTCACTGCAGATGGGCCTCCAAACTGTCTCGAGGGGTGCCTTCAGGAACCGATGGAACAGCCACCGAAATAGGGGCGCCGCTCTAGCTGCAGTGATGACAGAAGGTATTGACCGCATTGACCAGAGGAGCGCTTCATGTGGCTAAATGGGCGCGTTGATAAACTGGTGGGGCGCCACCCCATGCCCAGCGAGGGGCGTCGTACTGGAAATTATATAAGTCAGAGGAGCGCTAACTTCGGCTCGAGGGGCGCTTGTATGAACCGTTGAGGCGCTAACCTAGCTAATTGTGCCGTTTTATTTTAGCAGCAGGGATGCCATAACACACTATAGCGTGCTATGGCATCTAGGCCCTCTTCCCTAGCCCCCCCCCCCCCCGAGGAGCGATGATTATGACTCAAGGAGCGCCCTTAACCCGGCAGTTGCTGGGGTATTTCGCCACCCACCGTTTGCTGGGGGGGGGGCGTTAAACGCCCCCAGCCGATAACTCGAGAACCAATAGGCGCAGCGGAACGCACGAGGCGGCAAACGAAAGAACGCGACGAGACGCTTCAGATGAGTACTTTAAAGTTGAATTTTGAGGTCACAGGTCGGGTCAAGGTCAGGTCAAACACCTGAAATCGGGCTTTCAGTAGCATGGACTTCAGGACTTCGCAATGGGCGCCTCTCGTCATAAACTCCGTCAAAACGGTGCACAATCCATCATATAAGGCCTACAAGAGTGTCAGCTCCATGTAGGGGTCAGTCAAGCATAGGTCAGGGTCAAGGTCAGGTCAACCGGGTAGGCACATACCCCCGAAAATCAAAACTGATATTCGAGGCCTGTGACACATGTTTTATGGGTAATTTGGGGCGTAGAACACGATGGTGACACTCATTTTATCATATGTGTACGTGTTTGGCTCAAAAAGTTGAATTTAAGAAATGCATGTATCATGGTCGTGAAGTAGTCACGAGAAATTGCCGAGATTCTGTTCGAGATTTTGGAAAATGCGGAACGATAATCAATAATCGAAGATAGCCATTTGATTGTTCATGGTATTGGCAGTCTAATGGCGTTTACGGCATGTCTGTATGTCTATTCTGTGATTTTATATGATTTTTTGAACATATGCCGTTTTTGGTCGTAAACTCAGAAATCATGACGTCATTAAAACCTCGATATCTCAAAAAAATTTCCGACCGATTTTTTTGAAACTTTGTCACAATAAACTTCAATCAATTCCCTACAGGTACCCAAAATTTGGCGCGCCTGCGGCGCGCCGTTTTTATGCTATGGCCCGGCGAAAAAAGTGGGGGCGTTTAACGCCCCCCCCCCCCAGCAACTCGCGGGTTAAGAATCGGTAGGCCACGTACATTTCATTATTCAGTGCAAAGGGGCGCCAAAACTGGCACGAGGGGCGCCTTCAGGAGCCAATGGGGCAGTCTACGGACTAGGGGCGCTGTTCTAGCAACAATGATGACAAGGTATTGGCCAAAGGGGCGCTTCATCCACCTGAAGGGTCACATTGATAAACGGATGGGGCGCCGCTCTGCGTGCGGAGGCATTAGTTATTAGCAAAACAGATGACGTAAGACGTGCGTGTTGTCAGAGGGGCACCTTTTTGGCTCGAGGGGCGCTTTTTAAACAATGGGGCACGCTATTTAGCGAAGGATTTACTTGCCTCAAGCGGCGCACCTTCCCTGAGGAACGTTACACAAACGACTCTCTCGACCTACCTAGGTGCCCCTTTTTCGCATGGATGCGCCCCTATAAACCTTATAGGTGCCCCTCTTTCGCATGTAGCCGCCTTATGGCTATCGGAGGCGCCCCTATAGGCCTTACAGGCTCTTTCGCATACAGGCACCTTTCTTTCACACGGTGACAATGTTGGAATTGTCATTTTCGGTCCTGGTCCCGGATAATAAAATCGGTCCGGAGAACCAGCCAGCGTTTACAACAGCCAACAGGAAAATCAAATGTTTGGCCTGCTAAATGTAATAGCCGATTAACTGTGTTCCTCTCGATGCTATTTCTGCATATTTTAGGTGTAATAATAGCAGTTTTTTATCACAAAGGCTGGGAAATTCAGAAGATATTAGGTGCCTGAGTATAAATTTGTAGAGGAGGACAAAATCTTTTGAACCCGACGGGGACCAGCAAAGGGTCTTATTTCCAACATTGCACGGTGACCCACTATGGGCATCAGAGGCGCCCCTATAGACCTGACAGGCGTCCCTAATTCCCATTGAGGCGCCCCTTTGAGCTTCAAAGGAGCTCCTCTTTCTATGGGCCTCGGAGGCGCTCCTATTTGGCATGCAGTCTCCCCTCTTTCGTATTGGGGCGCCATTATAGCCTTAACCCTCGCCCGCACATGGGGGGGTTGCCACCCCCCCCCCCCCAGGTAGTCTTTCTGCTCTGCACTCAACATTTTTAGAGCTAGAAGGCTGATTTTTCGTATAGCTGCTCCTCTATCCTTTCTTGATGTCCACTGAAAATTTCAAGTTTCTGTGGTTTTTGGTTTCGGAGATATGACCTTGTTTTTCAGGTCATGTCATGACCCAAATGGCCAATTCTTAACATCTTGCGTTGGCTATGGGCCTTGTGAGCTTTTGACACCTTGATTTCGGCCTTTTTTGCCAGTCTTACCTCCCACCTATCATGGAACATGTTGTTCGACGATGTACCGAGGTCAAGGTCAGGGTCAAGGTCAACCTAGGTCATCTAAAATAATTGCGTTTTAGGCAAGCGGAATTTACTTTTTGTGAATTTTTTGGACTGCATTTTTGGTAAAAGCATCTCAGATCATGATTTCATGTAATATGGACACATAAACAATCGGTGCACACATCAGTATACACACAGACACAAACAGACATACAAACACATATAATTGACCTTGACCTAACTTGACCTGAAATGACCTCAGCAGCAAAAACCTGGTCGAGTAGTGTGACTAAGAGGTTCTAGCTGCCTTGGCACCAGAAAACGGCATCGTCATCGGTATATGATAAGCAGCGCACTTGATATCCAACGGTGACCCAAAACAGCAACATTTTTTAGTTTGACCTGACCTGGAAGGTCAATGACTGACCTGAGAAGGTAAAACTGGGTATCATTGGATTCGTCTCTTCCCAAAGAATCTTTTTGGTCTTTACCGCTAAGCTCTATCTCCAACAGGAACGAAATGGCGCGGGGGGGTGGCAACCACCCCCCCCCCCATGTGCGTTCTAGGATGGGAAAATGGCATGTGCGGGCGAGGGTTAATGGGCGCCCCTTTTGCATGTGGTGCCCCTATACATATAGACATCAGAGGCACCCCGAAGGTGCCCCTCTTTCGCATGCAGGCGCCCCTATGGCCATCTCAGGCGCCCCTTTTTGCATTGAGGCGCTCCTGAGGACTTCTGGGCGCCCCTCTTTCGCATGCAGGCGCCCCCACAGCCTCAGAGGTTCCCCTCTTACGCATCCCATTTTCATAGGCGATGGCGCCCCCTTGAAAGATGGCGCCTGCGCTCCTATGACGCCGCCGGCCCGTGAGGGCGCCTGTCGGGCCAAGGGGCGCCCACCAAGGTTGGGGGGGCAAACAGAATGTTGGGGTGGCAGAATTTCAAGTTGAGGGGCACCTGCCTCCCCAAAAGTATACAAAGTTACGCCCCTGATCAAAAGTCCATTTATTGACCAATCAATTTTTTTATGTTTGCCTCGTAGTTTCCCCAACTTATGTGTTCAGAGATCCCAGAAGCCAGCGACTCTTCTCTGCGATTTACCTTCTGCACCTTGTCCTCAAATGACTCAAGTGTATCACCTACTGTTGAAGCCTCTCTCTGAGAACATCAATGCTTCAGTAAAAGATACAGCCACGAGCTCGGGTCAACATTCAGAATCACATTGAGATCTCTGGCGTTCTGGCAGCTTTGTAGGCGGCGGAACAGGGAGGGCACCGGAGCATCGTGCCCCCCTTTGATTTTGGCATTTCAACATTAGCCCTATGGGCGTTGCATGGAAAAAGTGGGACCAAAACTCGGCAGTGCCCCCCATTAACTGAAGATGTTCCGCCGCTACTGGTTTCTTTGCTTAATTTGTGTTAGGTACCTACTGTCACGTTAATAACCAAACGCGCAACACACTGACACGACTATTGCATGATGTTGTCGGTAAATTAACAATCAACTTACCTTCGTCGGTTTATATATAGCCTTGCCTTCGTCCTTCCGAAGAATTATATGGAATGGCCTCGCTGGGTATCGGTAACCCTGAGCTCTGTTCGCTCGCTGTTTTCATATCAGCGTGCTGTCGGTTTTCCCCATATAAGGAAGTTATTGCTGGCGCGGCTTGGCCTCTCATTGGTCTAGCGAATAGACCACTTGAATTCGACCAATGAGGAGCCAAGAAGTAGTAGCATGGTCGCAGCCGCGTATTTACAAATTATTGCAGCCGAGCTCCGCCGTGGGGTAAGCGGTGGGCAGGGGTTTTCGCACTACGGCTACGGTTGAACTACCGTCTGTGGTAGAAACTTCAGGATGATGGCGCGTTTCATACGAAATCTGGCGCAATGTTTATTTGCTTCTGAACTTGTATTGTTAGGGCCTTGGTATTGTTATTGCTGTGAACTCTGGAAGTGAAGTGGGAGTGTTTCAATAACAATTTGTGGATTATTTGGGTTTCTTGATATAAAAATCGAATAATATTATGAAACATTGTGTGGAAACTGCAAATACTGATATAATCAATTGCTTAGTTAGTTTGGGAATTGATACACATTTTGTAGAGGTTTGTCTGACAAATGGTGTAACAAACTTCAAGCCTGTCATGATCTGAAGCTGTTGTACCAAATTAAAATTGCTTTGATGTTCCATAGTACCTTGTTGGAAAGACTGGAGCATGGTTCAAGATGATGTGTAAAAATTCAAGATTTGTGCAAAAGCTTATGACTGAAGAGCGAAAACAGTTCTATATGATGGCTCAATCAAACGTGGAAATGGATGACAAAAGTAGAGTTTCAACATTCCAGCATGTTAGAATAATTTCAGAACTTTGTAGTTCTTGTAGCATTGCATTCTTCTTTTGTACAGTTCTAGGTTTTGTTAGGGTATTTCAATTTCAATGTGTCAGTTGAGATATAGGTGAATTGCGGACAAAATTTAGAATCATTGCATGGTAGATAGGTACTTGTTCGGTAAAAAGGTATGTGATGAATGCCACGAGAAAATTTTGTTTTGTTTAAATATATGTTCATTGTTGTACCTACAAAAATGCAAGCTTACTAGCACCTAGTTATTGAATCAAATTGAAAGTATTTGCTATGAATGTAAATATGTACCTGCAAACTATGTCAATAAATTTTTGTGATGTTGACCAGAGAGCTTTATCATCTGGACATTTATGTTGCTTCTTACATTAGGTGTTTAGCATAGTAATTACGGATGAAATTTGTGCCAATATATTCAATGCACAATGTATGTAGCATGTCTACAACCCTCACTGATCCTGCTATAGCTATAGGCATTTGGCACCAGCAAGACCAAGGGCATGGACTTCACAGTTGCACAACCTTTGGTCATGTACCACCAGTCACTTTTTTACTTAAGGTGCACATAGCAGTGCACACAACAATGCGCAGAGGGCCTACACAAAAACAACATGATTAGTGTCCTATGCACAGCATTGTACCCTGATTATTTGAATATTTTGATCACTCCAGTCGACAGCCAGGAGACAATTATTGAATATCACATTTATCATACATCACTTGTCAAACAAGAGCATGATGACATGCATTTTGACAAGCAATCATGGTAGTATTCCAATAAGTTGGACAGTCACCTCCCTGGGCGTCATTTTTCCAGGAAGTTACCTCTGCAGGTGTTGTGGTAGGCTAGGTTGAATAATGAATTGGGTTAAGTTAGGCAAAGTAAGGTGGTTAGGACCAGGTCAGACCATAAGGCCTGGTCAGGTTGATTTTAATCTTTCATTCTAATTTGACATATATACCTATTACCTATGTTTTTGCTCCAGCCTGAATTCCATTAGGTAAAGAGTTAATTTTGCTTTGTTTTTTATCTGTCTTGTTTTGTGTTTTTGTCCCTTATGTTTTGCCCCATAGGCAAGGGTGGAGCTTTTCCAGGGAAGGTGGTGGAGCAAAAGCCGTCAAACCTGCGATGCCCGGTTGTTAAGTTAGATAATGTGCAACACAATCAATTTATTTAATTACAGAACTAACATTATGAATTACACAGACATTTCAAAGCTCCTCAATGCGAACAAGATTGGTTTGCTAAGCAATGAAGTTCTACAAATCAGCAAAAGTTGGAGGAACAGAACGCTAATTTTTTTTTCTCTGACAGCTTCGTAACATGTTACGAAGGCACCAAAACTACTTCAGTACAGGGTGTAACGAAATTATCCGGACATCCATTTTTTCGCCAATATCTGTTTGCACAGTTTCCTAATCCTTTCTGATGTTAGAAGTGGGAATATTGGATGAATACGTGCCTCTGCTATCGGTTTTCAACGCAGCAGTGACCTGACCTTGTCATGTGACTCTTGCTCTGAGTAGGAGTCGATTCACAGACGGGTTCACATGGTAGTTTTCGTCTAAGGCAGTTGCGAGAAAGGGATACAATCTCTCCTTTCGTGGTAAAATTGCATGGCGGCATCCACGGCGTCATGAGCCAGAAGCTGGTCTGCCAGCAGCTGGACATCAGCAGCAGCTAATTGCACATCTGCCTGAGGCGTAATAAGCTGGGACTTCGGTGGCAGACTCAGCCCGGTCGCGACCACAAAAGCCGCCCTTTTTCAAGTGGTGAGGAGAGTCATCAAGATAGCGGCAAGGAAACGGCACCAATCAATCCGCAAATTGACTCGAATTCTTACCAAGTCAGATAATAAGAGGTCCCATATCATGGTTCACCGCTACCCGCCCTTTAACTTGGTTCTAGTGCCCTTCAAACTGGAAAAGACAACGAAACTGACACTCGTTATGCGCCAAACTCCATATAGAAGCGGACATTGGGGCTCAGATTGCTATTATGAGTAAAATATAAGTCATTTTCTTCATTAAACGGTTGTTTTTCTATGTGGCGATCATTTATGAAGCACGCTACACTTAGTTACCAACGAACGATATCATAATACCTCCATTTTTGCCATTATACTGGTTGCGGCCGAGTGCGACGGTGGCGCCGACTATCGGCTACTCGTGCAACTAGGTCTCGCGGTTGCTCCGGCGGCCAAATTTCAGATGAAAACGTCCTTGTGTGGAGACTTAACGATAAACTGAAAAATGCGGTTCACTACAATCAATTTCAGTAATATATGTTCACCGTGACGTACTTTTTACCAATATTCGGGAAGAATAGGTACCGGGATTTGGCAACAGAAGATAAAATGTTTATCCTCATTACAAATTGTGTTATACCTGCAGTATATGGTCAAAATATGTCTTAATATATGCGAGATGTCATGCTGTTTGCCGTAGTATAACGACATTGTTTCATGAAAGACTCAATACAAATATAACGGGAGTGATGTATCCTAATTTCATTTGATGGTGCAAATATTTTTTTCTTTCTTGTCCCAATCCCGGGTCGAATTTTTCTCTCCTATGTATAAAAAGTGCAGAGATATGTTGCTCAGTTAGTGAGCTACAGCGTAGTATAGCGACATTTTTATGTAAGCTGCGTATTTTTTCATACTGTGCTAGTTTCCACGAAAATCCGTGCTTACACTGACCAATATTTTTTTCTTCCCAAGCCAGATCCCAGGTCAAATTTTTATCAGCCATGGATAAAAAATGCTTAACTATGTTGCTCAGATAGTGATCTACAACGTAGTATAGCGACATTGTTATGTAACTTCCCTATTTTTTCATACTGTGCTCATTTCCACGGAAATCCGTGCTTATGCTGAACAATATTTTTTTCTGCCATGGCCAGATCCCAGATCCCAGGTCCAATTTTTATACGTCATGGATAAAAAATACATAGATATGTTGCTCAAATAGCGAACTACAGCGTAGTATAGCGACATTTTTATGTAGCTTCCCTATTTTCTCATACTGTGCACATTTCCACGAAAATCCGTGCTTACGCTGACCAACATTTTTTTTCTTCCCTGGCCAGATCCCAGGTCCAATTTTTATCCGCCATGGATAAAAAATACATAAATATGTTGCTCAGATGGTGAGCTATACCGTAGTATAGCGACATTTTCATGTAACTTGCTTATTTTTTTCATACTGCGCTATTACCCACCAAATTTCGTGCTCTCGCTGGCCTTAGTTCTCTGGCGTTGCCGTTAGGCGGCGCTGGCGTCGCGTCCCCCGCTATGGCCGCGCCTGGCGCATAACGTGACGGGAAAACAACCAGTTCACCACCTTTCGCCTCACTTCAGATCGCGTCCACTGGTCGAAGAAAGATAACGATGAGGTGGTCTGGTTGGATGGGTAGCCGTTTGAGCTGTATTATCCTTTGAACCGTCAAATCGGCCATGTATGGGCGGCCAGCCGCTCGAACTTGCTGGCCTTCGCCGCCGTCAAACATCCGGGTAACATCCAGATCTGAAGCATGTTCAGCTGCTTAGCAATGCTGCAATAGGACATAGTGTCACAGAATACCGCCATCAACGTCACTTATTACCGGAGCAACATACTGGCCAATGAATGATTGGAGGCGCTCAACCAGACGGCATAGGAGGGCACGGTTTTTGAACGCGCACTGATGCCTGATTCAAGCCACGCTGTCTTCATGCGGGGCGGCGGCGGGCGCGCAACTTAAAAGTCCCTAAAAGAACGGGAAGTGATGCCGATAGAACCTTCAATCATTCTGGGCTAACGCTTATGACTTGGAAAAAGTCGCGATCCCAATTCAATCGAAAACCTGTGGGCTCTTGTTCAGCAGGAGGTGTATGAAGAGCCACCCGCCATAAGCACCGCTCAACCGCAGGCACAGGTTTAGACGGCGTTGGTCCGCATCGTCCAGCCAGCCCTGAGGATCAAATCAGTACCTACTTGAATTGTGCTATAATTATGGATATTTCCGTTTGCTCTTTATATATGCATGGATGTATAATGGAGTGTGTGTGTGTCCATTGTGCATTATGTGTGAAATGTGTGTTTGTGACTTGTGAGTCCATTAGGTATTGTAGACTGACCCAACTTAGCACTCCTCCGGTATTATGCCTAGAGTAACGCTCGACCGATAGATGGCGGTCATCTCTGACAGTACCTAGATGGCGCTGTCGTATGCAGCCAACTCTG